AGGACAGAGGGGCTAAAGAACTATTTTGTGTTCTTGATAGCTATGGACTGACTCAGCATGTGACGGAGCCCACGCACAATAAGGGGCACACTCTGGACTTAATTATCTCAAAGGGTCTGAATATCTCTAAGGTTGTGGTGACTGATGTTGCACTCTCTGACCATTCCTGTGTTTTCTTTGAGAGCTCTATTTCTGTTCACAAAAATGTTCAAAAAGAGGTAACCACAAAGCGATATTTAACTGAAAATACTAGGGAAATGTCTACTCAGAATTTCTCTTCCACACTTGCCCCTGCCAACATCTCAGTAAATGAGCTAGTAGATCATTTTAATTCAAAAAGTAAAAATGTTATAGATGCCATTGCTCCAACTAGGTTAAAGGAAGTGTCTGGCAAGAAAATATCTCCATGGAGAAAGGCCATGACCGTGAAAACAGAAAAAAGAGAATGTCGAAAAGCTGAACGCAGGTGGCGAAAAACAAATCTCCAGGTTCACTTTGAAATCTATAAAGAGAGACTTGGCCTTTATAATTTGGAATTGAAAAACGCACGACAATCGTTCTTCTCTGACATCATTACCAAAAACAAAAACAACGCACGTGCCTTGTTTGCTACCGTCGACAGACAACTAACCCCCCAGTGTCAGTAGCCTCTGAATTTCTATCCACCAGGGCGTGCAATGATTTTGCCTCCTTTTTCACTGACAAAATTCAGAAAATCAGACAAGCAGTCAGTGCCTCTGCATCAGGAACAGCAAATGTGTTGTCCCTATCTCCACTTAACATCAATTCAGACATCATGACACAATTCCATCAGATTAATGATAAAAACCTAGAGGACATTATGCAACTTCTGAAATCCTCCTCCTGCTGCCTTGATATTATTCCAACAGGATTTTTTTCAAAGATGTTTTGCCTTGCATGGCCTCAGATCTACTTCATATAGTAAACAAATCTCTTCACTCAGGTATTTTTCCACAGGCCCTGAAAACTGCAGTCATTAAACCGCTCTTAAAAAATAATAATCTAGATGCTTCAGTAATGAACAATTACAGGCCCATATCAAACCTGCCATTTCTAGGTAAAATCATTGAAAAAGTTGTTTTTCAACAGTTGAGTAATTTCTTGCATTTAAATAACTGTTTTGATGTGTTCCAGTCAGGCTTTCGTCCAAACCACAGCACTGAGACTGCTCTTGTAAAGGTCTTTAATGACATCCACTTAAACACAGACAGTGGCAGAACTTCAGTGTTAGTATTATTAGATCTCAGTGCTGCATTTGACACTGTTGACCACAGCATATTACTAGACCGACTGGAAAACTGGGTGGGACTTTCGGAAACAGTTCTGAATTGGTTTGAATCCTACTTAAAGGACAGAAACAACTTTGTTTCTATAGGTAAATACACATCTGAGTTGACAAATATGACATGTGGGGTTCCTCAAGGCTCCTTCTTGGGGCCTCTTCTCTTTAACATCTACATGGCTACTGGCTCAGATAATGAAGAACAACAAAATAAGTTACCATAGCTATGCAGATGACACACAAATGTACGTAACAATTTCACCAGGAGACTATGCTCCAATTCAAACACTGAGTAAGTGCATTGAACAAATCAATGACTGGATGTGTCAGAACTTTCTCCAATTAAGGCGAGACACGGCAGGCAAAAACATCGTTTTTCAAGTACTGGTCAATTTTGATTCCATAACATGTTTTCTTTCAGGCTTTTGGAAGGAAAACGTACAAAATACACATTTAAGTGTTTATTTTACTATAGTTTGTCTATTTGCGTCTGTAGATTTCTCCTAAATTCACCAAAAGTTAGCATTCTAACGTAACATAAAGTACCGCGACCGCTGTGTGCACCATGTCAACAGAGGTATCGCTGGAAAGCTCCGTCTCTCCTGCACAATCTCATTGGATCCAAATATGGTCATTTCCTTTGTATCAGCAACCAATCGTGAAAGCACAAAGGGGTCTTAAACCAAGAAACGAAATCTCATTGGCTGGTGTCAATTTCTGACAACGTGATTCGTTCAGATGCGTCACGTGGTGTGCTAAAACCCTTCCTGGTTAGCTTTCAGCTAGAAATTGAAATCTCAAAATGCCAAAAGAACGGCGAAAAAAACGTTCACAGAGAAGACGACAACAATTGTCACTTGCACGAAGCAAGGTTATTAAAAAAAAATGACCTTGAACATGAAATACCTTCACGGAGTGCGTCGATGCGCAAGCTATCATCCAAAGAACAGGAAGGTTTAGCTAGCGCCTCACTGCAATCTTTAAAGGTCGTTTTCTCAAAATGAGTTTTTTCTCCTACTCTGAGTTCGACATTTCAACTTCAGTAGCACGTACATACACCAAACCTTCCAGTTATATTCCTATCAATATTATGAAGGCTTTTACATTAGGGTTTGTTCATATATAATTCATAGCCTGAATTATACAACATTGCATGGCGAAAATTGATATTTTAGGGCTGTTGACAGTATTTTCTGATTTATGGAATGATAAAAAGAGATATCCAATATCCCTTCTGTAAAAGCCTTAGATAATAATATGACTACAAAATTAAACAAGAATTTTGAATCTGGCTATATCCAAAGTTCAGATTTCGATTCCTGAAATGTGTTAAAATATGTGCATATTTAATGAGATAATGGATAATTTGCATATTTAAACATGCTATTTCAGAAAACTTGTAATACAAAAGACAATTGTCTTATTGTAAGTAATTAACTGGAGAAATGTCTAGCTGATACCTTTAAGTTAAAAAAATTACCCTATTCACCTGGGGTGTCTCGCCTTAAACAAAGATAAAACTGAGGTAATGGTTTTTGGAGCCAAGTCAGAACGTATAAAAGTTAGCGCTGAGCTTCAGTCTGCAATGTTCAAAACAACAGATAAAGCCAGAAATCTAGGTGTAGTCATGGACTCTGACCTGAGTTTCAACAGTCACATTAAAACTGTTACTAAATCAGCCTACTATCACCTAAAGAATATATCTAGGATTAAAAGACTAATGTCACAGCAGGATTTGGAAAAACTTGTCCATGCTTTTATCTTCAGTAGACTCGACTACTGCAATGGTGTCTTCACAGGTCTCACTAAAAAATCTATTAGGAAGCTGCAGCTAATTCAGAACGCTGCTGCTCGAGTCCTCACTAACACTAAGAAAGTGGATCACATCACTCCTGTTCTGAAGTCTTTACACTGGCTTCCTGTGTGTCAAAGAATACATTTCAAAATACTGCTGCTGGTTTATAAAGCACTGAATGGTTTAGGCCCAAAATACATTTCTGACCTCCTGCTAAATTATGAACCATCCAGATCTCTCAGGTCTTCAGGGACTGGTCAGCTTTCTGTGCCCAGAGTCAGAACTAAACATGGTAAAGCAGTGTTCAGTTATTATGCTCCAAATATCTGGAACAAACTCCCAGAAACCTGCAGGTCCGCTGCAACTCTGACTACTTTTAAATCCAGGCTGAAGACTTTTCTTTTTGTCGCTGCTTTTAATTGAACTATTCATATCTTAGACTGCACTGTAACTTTTATCCATGTACTTTTTTCTTTTAATGTTTAATTGACTGCACTGTAACTTTTATCCATGTATTTTTTCTTTTAATGTTTATTTTATTAGCTTTTCTTTTTAATGACTGATTTTAAATGCCATGTTCTTAATCTCTTTCATTTTTTGTAAAGCACTTTGAATTGCCTTGTGTTGAAAAGTGCTATATAAATAAACTTGCCTTGCCTTGCCTTGCTCTGTTTCTCATGTATTTTAATGCTTTGAATGAATCATAAACGAACTTTGAAAAATAATAATTATAATTAATTTGCATAAAGAATGAAGAGTATACAACCCACAGAGAAGACAAATTCATAAATTGTAGGCATATCATTTTTTACTGTTTGTGCAGTGGTAGTAATTATTATTCAAATCAATCAACTACGTTTTATGGAAGATATTGCTGTATATCATTTAACAACATGAGTAGAGGTTTCTGTACACCTAAAATACTGAAGTTGAAGTTACTGTCCTGATGTGTATCATTCATTTGTTCATGTTGTGTCTGGTGGTATTTATTATTTTTGAAACATTACAATACACATCAAATACTAAACATGAAATGTATAGTACATACCAACACATTGTACAAAGGAAAATATACAGTACATACAAAGAGGAAAGTCTTCATTAAACATAAACATTTTATTGGGTGTTCTAATTCAGCAACCACAACATATGTGCCCAGATTTAATTATCTCTGACTTCATCAACCAAAAGATCAATTTTGATATTTAACATGACATACTCAGAAAGAAAAACACACTGTCTGCCTTATACAACTTTTGTTGGTCATCTTTGAATATCATCCAAGTTTTGTAGATGGACAATTTTGCTATTATTAGTATAAGGTTTACACTAGGCTATATATTTCCCTATGGGGTGTGTTAAGACCCAGGATTATATTTGACTATTTCTGTGTAAATTTCACTTTGAACAGAGACAGGATAAGGGCAGTAACTTGAGTTGACTGCTAAAGTTTCAAATGTTCTCTTTAGTTCAGTTTCCATTGTCGCATAAGACTGACCCAGATAGCTCCTGAATGTTTTCCTATCTGACCATGGCTGTCTTCTGTCTCCTGCTATCTGTATATTTTGCGCAGTATATCTCTGCTCACGCTGTTGCGTCGGCGTGTTCTCCTGCGTGTTGGCCATGTGTTGCACTGGAACCAGACACCGCAAAGACTTCAGCCGAGCACGTACGAACTGCGCATATGGCAATGGCAGTGGCAATAACTATCCTTACCAGCAGGCCGCGGTAGTGTGTATTCATCATTCAAAACAGGCAACAACCGGAAAACAGAGAAGAAGAACAGACTACGTGATATAAACAAACAACAAATAGCTGTGCGTTAGCTTCACCTTAGCATGTGTTCTTTGCAGGTGTTTGTTGAGGTTTGATGACTGATTTGAGTAAGTAACGAAGTAACGCATGTCGGAGCAATGTTAGTAACTGTAGTATGATTACTGAATTATAAAAGTAGCGCGTTACACTACTCCGTTACCGACAAGAGTAATATTATTACAGTAACGCGTTACACCCAACTCTCAACATAAGTATGATTGAAACGCCATTACCCTCTCAACAACAAATACATTATTATTATTAACAGACAGAACAGACGTGACTAGGAACTCTCAAGTAAACACGTGTTTAGTTTAAATAAAGCCTCTCATTTTTGGTATAGAGCTTTGAAATAGGGCTTTGAATTTGAAACATTAAGGCTTCTACACAATTTCTGAACACACATGGCAGCAGTTAATGCAGAAAAAAAAGAAAGGCACAGTAAAGCTGAGAGTCATTCACATCCCTAGAATGCGTGGGGGGCGGGGTTCATAACCCTTTAGGAAACGCCCCCTATAGGATCCGCCCCCTTTAGGATCCGCCTCCTTGCTGCGGTCTGCATCCAGACCCATCTCCCCGTCGCCGCCCCCACCCCCCGAAGGCCGGATTAACCATATGGGCAACCTGGGCAAGTACCCAGGGGCCCTTGAACAAAGAGGGCCCTCAGTGAGAAGATGAAAAAAAATTATTTTTTATTATTTTATTATTATTATTCTTTTCTTTCCGGGTACAACCTCACTCATCATACATTGTTTTAAATGACACTCACTCTTCGCTATAAATAACACAGCTTTTCTATAGGGTCAAATTAATATATTTTCTAAACCGTCTCTGTACTGTAGGTCTCACTATGTATGCGCTCAACTTTATTACTACGCAGTGGTGGTGTATAGCCGAATCACAGCCCCACCCTCACTCATGTCACATTTTGTCACATGAGCAGAAAAAATGGAGGGTGCCGGTAGCCAAACGCCCAGCGGGGCTGCGAAAAGAAAGTAAAAGAAGAGTGAGTGGCGGCTTTATTAAAAAATGTGCCAACAATAAATAGCTTTTTCAAAAAAGCAAAAAGTGACGAAATAGGCCAGCAACAACCACAAGGAACAGTGGCGGCGGTCACGGAGGATGTTGTTGAGCTAGCGAACAATGTTAGCCTTGAACCTAGCATGCTAACGCAGCAGCGGGTAGAAGAGGAGGAAAAAGATGAAGACGAGCCTGACGAGGACGTCACAGAGCAGGGTGAAGGTTCGAGTTCATCTGAAGTGTGTCTCTCAGGACCCTGCACAATGTGGATTAATTGCTGGAAAGATCCGGGAGGAGACTTTGATGAAAGGGGTTTCATACTTTCATAATCGGGCAACGAAGTATCCAGCATCTCGGAGGGAGACCGATGCTAGCGGCCGGACACGCTCACTGACCAACGATATGCTGACCAGACAGCTTCACAATGGAGAAATCGTTCAACGCGATTGGATTATTTATTCTCCATTACCGGAGCAATTTATTGTTTTGCCTGCAAACTTTTATCCACTCACAGCCACAGCAATGCATTTGTTCTCGGCTTTAGTGATTGGAAGCATCCCGAGAGGATAACGGAACATGAGACGAGTGGTGAGCACAGAAAATGCATACTTTCACATGGGCACTGTGGATGCTTCTCTAGGGATGCAGGTCGACACAGAAAGTCAGTAGCCTACTGGAAGGATGTATTGAGACGTGTAGTTGCGGTGATTACATTCTTGAGTGAGAGGGGGCTTCCTTTCCGGGGAAATTACGAACTTTTAGGATCCTCACATAACGGGAACTACCTGGGAATCCTGGAGCTGCTCGCGCCATTTTTAAAGGATCATTTTCAGAAGTTTGGCCAGAAGGGACGTGGTAGGACTTCATACTTGTCATCAATCTGTGAGAAGTTTATTGGTTTGACGGGTGACAGAACAAAGGAAGCAATAGCAACAGAACTACAGCGAGCAAGGTATTTCTCTGTCATCGTAGATTCTACACCTGACATGTCTCACGTCGACCAATTAACTTTCGTTTTCCGATTTGTGAGTGAGAAAGGAAAAGTTATTGAGAGATTTATTGGATTTGAACCCATTCACAGTCACACTGGGTCAAGTCTGGCTGACTGTGTGATGAAGATGTTCATTGATATGGGGCTGGATCTCTCAAACTGCCGTGGCCAGGCTTATGACAAGCATCCAACATGTCAGGAAAATATAATGGGCTGCAAGTTCATCTCAAGAAAAGCAACCCACTCATACATTACATTCCGTGCGCAGCACATTCCTTGAATTTGGTTGGTGTCAACTGTGTTGAAAATAGTTGCCGTGAAGCAAGCCAGTTTTTTGATATACTTCAAGCACTTTTTGCTTTTTGCTCTGCTTCTACCCACCGATGGAATAAAGTGTTCACTGAAAACGTCACGCTGACACTAAAATCTCTCTCCTGAACAAGATGGAGCTGCAGAGGAGACTCCACGAGAGCTCTTTGTGAGAATTACACTGCAATATGAGGGGCTTCACAAATGTTGGCGGCTGATGACGAAGAGCGTCAGGACACACGGCGAGAGGCCTCTGCGCTGTGTGGCAAACTTGAGAAACTAGAGACTGCTCTGCTGACAATATTTTGGAACACTGTACTGCACCAATTCAAGCTTACGAGCACTGGCTTGCAAAAGAAAGACATTGACCTAATGACCGCTGTGCAACTTTTGGAATCGCTGCACACTTATGTTGCATCACTACGAGGGACATTTTCAGACTTTGAGACATCTGCCCGGGCCGTCGCGGCGTGACACAGACATACCAGCACGAGACTCACCATGTTGGTAAAAGACGAGTATTTGATGACGAGACAGTGGAGCACGAGGTGGTACTGACTGGCAGTACAAAATTCAAGGTTGAGACATTCAATGTAATTATTGACAGGTTGCTCTCAGGACTTAGCAAACGCCTGGATGCATACAAAGACATACATGATGACTTTGGAGTCCTATTTGACATGTGCTGTGATGACACTGATCTCCGCAGACGGGCCAATATTCTCTCCTCATCATATCCTACTGACTTGGATAAGTCATTAGGAGATGAGCTGATCCAGTTTAGAGCTTTTGTCAGCACAGAGCCAGATAAGGTGCTTAAACATGGACTACAGACAACATTCCCCAATGTTTTTGTTGCGCTCAGGATTTTTCTCACACTGCCTGTAACCAACAGCTTAAACGTATCAAAAATGAACTTAGGACAACCATGGCTCAGAAGAGACTTTCAGCTCTTTCTTTGATGGCCATCGAGTCTGATCTTGTGAGGGATCTGGATTTTGATGACCTGATCACAGACTTTTCAAAGAGAAAGGCAAGGAAGAAACACTTCTAAAAGGTAAGATCCACTGTCTCTCATACACACTCATTCACTCTCTCTCTCTCACACACACACTCACTCTCTCTCCCTCTCACATATATACACACACACACACACTCTTCCATCACATATACTGATCACTTAGTTGAGCAACCACACCATTTCACTACATATTTTACTTTTGTAACTCTCAATGTTTGTAACTAGGGATGCACGATAATTATCGGCCCGATAATTATCGGAATTATGACGTCATCCCGATAAACCCGATACCAGTATTAATAGCCCCGATAATATACAATATATTTTTTGAGTAAAAAAAAAGAAAAAAATACTGCGGTGTGGGTGGATTGGGATGGGGGGCGCTTGTTTTTCACTCGGCTCCTCCCGTTTTGCCAGTACTGTGGTATTAGTGGTTTAGGAAGAGGGGAGTTTTTCACAAATCAATCAATCAATCAATCAATCAATCAATGTTTATTTATATAGCCCAATATCACAAATGTTACATTTGTCTCAGTGGACTTTACAGTTTGTACAAAATATCAGTATGACAATACAACACCCTCTGTCCTTAGACCCTCACATCGTACAAGGAAAAACTTCCGAAGAAAACCCACAGTTTAAAGGGAAAAATGGGAGAAACCTCAGGGAGAGCAACAGAGGAGGGATCCCTCTCCCAGGACGGACAGACGTGCAATAGATGCCGTGTGTAAATTGAAAAGATAATACATTTGCAACATAGGTAGTCCTAATGTTTGGAAATGCATGTGTGTATAATAGGAAGATGAATCCACGAGGATATCCATCCAGGACCTATGATCCAGGACCACAGCCACGACTCAAGATCCAGGGCTCGCGATCCAGGACAGAGGAGCGCAGGATCATCCATGACTCCGGATCCCGGCGTATATAGACACCAAAAAGAAAGACATTTGGGGAAGCTGGGTTAATCGGAACATGAGAGTACACAGGTATAGACAGAGAGAAGGAAGAAGTAAGATGTCCCCCGACAAACTAAGCCTATATCAGCAAAACTAGGGGCTGAATCTAATCAGCCCTAACTATAAGCTTTATCAAAAAGGAAGGTCTTAAGCGCACTCTTAAAAACGGATAGGGTGTCTGCCGCCCGAACACAAACTGGAAGCTGATTCCACAAATGTGGAGCTTGATAAGAAAAGGCTCTGGCTCCCATTGTACTTTTAGAGACTCTAGGAACAACCAACAACCCTGCATTCTTGGAACGCAATGCCCTAGTAGGACAGTAGGGTATAATGAGTTCTTTAAGGTAAGATGGCGCCTGCCCATTAAGGGCTTTGTAGGCGAGAAGAATAATTTTAAATTCTATCCTGTGTTCTATAGGGAGCCAGTGTAAGGCAGCCAGAACAGGAGTAATGTGGTCCCTTTTCCTAACTCTGGTTAGTACACGAGCTGCAGCATTTTGAATCAGCTGAAGCGACTTGACTGACTTCTTGGTACACCCTGATAATAAAGAGTTACAATAATCCAGCCTTGAAGTAACAAATGCATGGACTAGTTTCCCTGCATCGTTTTGAGGCAAGATATGCCTGATTTTTGCAATGTTACGTAGATGGAAGTAGGCGGTCCTTGAAATTGATTTTATGTGGGCGTTAAAGGATAAATCCTGATCAAATATAACACCAAGATTCCTTACAGTCTCACTGGAGGCCAAATTAATGCCATCCATAGTTAATATATCCTTAGATAATTTGTTTCGTAGATTCTTCGGGCCAAGTACAATAACTTCAGTTTTGGTCGTGTTTAACATCAAAAAGTTTAAGGTCATCCACGTTTTTAAGTCCTTAAGGCAGTCTTGAATTTTATTTAGATGATTAATTTCATCAGGCTTGATTGATAAATATAGTTGAGTATCATCCGCATAACAATGAAAGTTTACAGAATGATTCCTTATAATATTGCTTAACGGAAGCATATATAATGTGAACAAAATAGGTCCAGCGCTCCCTAACTCGTGAAGCCAGGACAGTAAACAAACATGTCGTCGGTGGTATGGGCGTTGGAGCTATGTGCAACTCAAGGCATATGCTCGAACCGGAGCTGCCTGGACGCTGCAATCATGTTGCGCACTGAGTGTGCTGACTTTTCGTACAATGTCCCACTGTCTGGCTTCCTGCATAAAGTCAAGTGCTCGGCGCAGTTGTGGCGAAATGTCGCTCCTCTGTTTTCATTTAAACAGCTCCGTATATCCGTTAGCGCAGCTAGCTAGCACCAGATGCTAACAACAACAATGCACGTAAGGTCTCTCTCTCGCTCGCTCGGGCCACACATACACACACCCTCCCGGTCCTCCAGATGGCCAGTCGGTGCCTGCCGGTGAGCGTGGAAGTGTGGTCTGCCACAAGCGGGCGGCAGGAGCGGAGCTGTCAGCATCAGCTTGTAGATGGTATTTTAAACTCGATGCGCTCTGAAACTACGGGGCTGCCGAGGAAAAAAAATACACATGCGTTAATCGCGTTAAAATAATTAGTGGCGTAAACATTTTTTTATTATCGGTATCGGTCTTGAGAAGCAGGAAGTTATCGGTATCGGTTTCAAAAAACCAATATCGTGCATCCCTATTTGTAACTAATACAACTCCTTGTGTACTTGTACAGCCAGCCAGTCATATGTTGGCATTCAGTGGGGTGCTGCGTGATATTACCTAGGTATTCCTGAGCCATACACTGTCTCGGGATCTTATCCATTGTATATTTGTCTTGTGATTTTTGACTAAAAGGGCAAAAGGCTAGACCTGCTTTGGTTGAACTATGTGGCTGCGTCCCTGCTTTTGACAAATAGGTGTGCGATTTGACATGCCAGATTGATTGAAAATTCTAAATATTGGTCATGTTGGTAGGATTGGGTAGGCGTGGTGTTACTTGTTGGTACGTGGGTTGGGGGGGGGGCCCATGAGCGCTCAGTGCCCAGGGGCCCCTGGAGGTACTAATCCGGCCTTGCACCCCCCCCTCCGCGGCATTATAATGTCCGTCTTTTCACTGAATTGTCGTCTTGAAAAGGGTACTCACAACAATTCCGCAACAACTTCATCTTCACCTGTTGCACTTGTCATTTCAATGTTAAAAACAATAAAACGGCATGAATTGCTTCGTGGCATTCATCTAGCTCCTCTGTCTCGAGCCAGTTAACTAGCGGGCCTTCTAGAGCAGTGGTTCCCAAACGGTGTGCCGTGAGGCAAGTCCGGGTGTGCCGTGGGATTTTGTGACAACCATACGTTATTAATGCAATATACAACTACACAAAAATAATAATTTTTTAATTTACTATATCAGTAGGCTACTTTGTAGGTTTATATGTACGTAATCTGCGCGACTTGCGCGTCCACATCTCCACGTGCAGTGCTGCATAAACATAGCTGAGTCAGCGATAACTTTCGAGGGGTGGAGGTATGCCCATTACTTTGAGTTCGTCCGAAGAATAGACAGGAATGTGACGGTGAGGTGCAAACTGTGTCCAGGCCAGAAGCTGTTATCCACTGCTGTAAACACCACGTGGTCAAACCTCAACAAGCAACTGCAAAGAACACATGCTAAGGTGAAGCTAACGCACACGATATTTGTTGTTTGTTTATATCACGGTCTGTTCTTCTTCTCTGTCTTCCGGTTGTTGCCTGTTTTGAATGACAAATACACACTACCGCCGCCTGCTGGTAAGGAAAGTTATTGCCACTCACGCATGCGCAGTTCGTACGTGCTCGGCGAGTAAAGTAACGCGTTGCTTTATGTAGATAGTAACGAAGTAGTGTAATATCTTATTTTATTTTTTAAAGTAATATGTAATATATTACATTTTTTTAGTAACGACCCCATCTCTGGAGTTGGCGTTCTCTACTCTGATTTACATGAAGAACAACAGGAGGACACGGCTCTCTGTTGAACAGGACTTGCGAGTGGCCCTCTCCTCAGTGCCACCAAGGATTACAAAATTCTGCGCGCCCCGACAGGCACATGTATCTCACTAATTTGTAAGTTGGCAAAAATATTTACAATAGCACATGTTTCAATGCTGATTGCTGAAATGTTACATTTATAATTTGTAGTTCAGGACCATGGACAATGCAGCTTCCTTGCATTGACAGTTCTCTGTGCTGAATGACTGCTGAGTTTCCTTTGCCTCATTTTTTATTTTGTGACCTGTCAGGTTTAAATGAGTGTGTTGCTGCTTTGATGAAGCCTAATTTGATAAAGTTTCAAATTAATTTCTGAAATATTTCGTTAATAAATATTTCATGAGTAATATAGTTGTCTTTGTCACATTTTATTTGGCATTAGTAAATAATTATGCACATTTACAGATATTTTACATGATATGAGTGATAACACGTGTTATAAGGGCTATTTTGCACAATAGGTGTGCCTTGAGATTTTTACTTGTCCTTTGGTGTGCCTTGGGCACACAAAGTTTGGGAACCACTGTTCTAGAGTACCCTGGAACCGAGGGGAACTCTGAAAGAATACGCCCATTGGCTTCAAATCAATATATGATTGGTTGATCAAACTGTCAGTCCAAACGTACGCTCTCATTCAGTGCAACGGCCAGGGCATTCGATCAAGGATGTAGAATACCTTGGTTGAAGGACATTCTACCCAGAGACCCAGAACAAGATCTGATTGGTTGCTTTCTTTTCTAACACAAAACCACTGAAATGCGTGGTGCATGGTCCGAGAAGGACAAACAAATCAACGTAACACTGTGATATTACAGATCAACAACACAGATACCATTCTCATTTATTCATTTTATATACATTTTATTACATTTTATTTATATAATTAAATCGATGTTTTGTTTGTTTTATCTGAGTCTTCCTGGGTATTCTCTGAATACCTTGAAGGCCCTGACAGTTCGCCACTGGTTAGTTTGCTGCTAAAAAAAATGAAACATTATCAGATGAGGACATCACCAAAGTGTGTGAGTCAGTCAGGGGATTTGATCTGTTCTATGCATGTCGTACAGTGGGCCTATGTACACACTGCTCTGGTATGAATTAAAAATATAATTGTAAAATGTAAGTCTCTCGCTCTTGTCATCGCTCAGGCTTTGCATTTGAACTCCTATGACTGGTTATGGACTTGAAGGGAACGACTTCCTGGCCTTCCTGACATCCAGGAAAATGGTGAGATTCTAATCCATTTCAATGCCAACAGCAAGTCATTGTTTTTAATAAGATATTTTGGGGAATTTCTGTTATATTGGATAGTAGAAATCTACTGGAACCTAACACCAGAGAGAGAGAGAGAGGGAGGAGATGATATGCAGCAAAAGGCCGAGCCGGATGGTTGCTGCTCCGTGTGGAACGTGTTCTATCAGGTAAAGCACTCTGGTACCCAGTTATTTATGGTATTGAGTTTGAATTTAGCCTTTGGAAGGTCATTTCCAACAGTGCATTGTAATGACTGAAAAAACATTTCTTTGTCTCTTAACATTCCTGTAATAATTTGTTTTTTTATTGTTGATATTGTTTTGTTCTTTATTTTTGTTGTGAGAATCACTTTGTAATTGTGTAAGTGCTATATAAATAGTTATACTAATATTATTGTTGTTACCATCATTACCATTATTAAAAATGTTTTCTTTGTTTTCTTTATTTATCGCTGCAGAAAGGATCATGCCAGCCCACATCAAACACCTGATCAAGAACTTGTGAATCTTCAGGCAGAAAAGATGAAAACACCTGTTCAAAGTTCCAGTTTCCTGTACATGGAACCATGCCTGTCCTCTGTTCCACATGTCTTCAGTCAGTCCTGGGGCCTGTACTACGAAGCAGGATTTTTGCTTAGCCGGCTAACTTCTGGGAAAACTCCGGCGTTCCGGTCCTACAACGCTGGTTCTCTTTTTAGCGGGCTAGCTCTCCATGGCAACTTATGCTGAGCGGCTAACCTGCCCCGGAGCAGGTTAGGTTGCAGGCTAAGAGCTCAACTCAGTGAAAGCACTGCCTGCTGACCAATCAGAGCTCAGTGTGCGGAGTTTAAAGCGATCAAGTCATATTACAGGAGAAAGGAAATACAGTTTAAATTGCCGTTGCAGGAAAGACGGCCGGCAAAAATCACAGACTGTGTGAACGTGAACATTAATAGAATATCACCTCCATCTTCAGAGCAATCTGACTATTATAACATTAGCGTTAAGAAAGCTTACTTAAATATCTGCCACAACATGAGTAACCGGATCAAAGTAACATTAAGTACAGTCCGCGGCACTGAGTGCAGACGTCGATGTGTCCCATTATCATTCATATCACATCACATCATAATGTATCATATATCTCCTGATCTGAGTCAGCTGAGCCGTATCTGGCCGTGCAACACTCACAGTGTCACATACTGTATGCAGAAGTATTATTTTAAGCAACACATTAAGTTGACGACACACTCAGTCAAATGTAATTTAAAGTCAGATCGTGTCTTAGACGGGGCAGTGATATCATAAACCTGTTAATGTACGCATTCAAACACTTGTTCTTTTACCAGCTGTATTCACCTTGCAGGTGCAGCTATGTTGCTTTGATCCTGGATACAGTGTTTAAGTCATGGATGTTTAAAGTTGAACTTCTTCATATGTCTAATATTATAGTTGACTTTTCATTCAGGAAGTATGACGCGCTGCGCTGTCAGTACGCTTCTCCATGTCTGTGATTGGTCGAATGCTCCAAATACCACCCCTTTCATGTGAACGCGCACCTAACTAGATAACCCGCGTCGTAGCACCGTTTAGCGAGAGCGCGTATGTTTTGGATTAGGCCAACCGGCTAACTCAAACATATCCAGGTTAGGTTGAACCGGCTTCGTAGTACAGGCCTCTGGACCCTATGACTCGGACACTAGTTCTTCCAAGGCTTATTAGAGGTAAGAGTGGTAGGAGAGGAGTGGAGTTATCTTTGTATTTAGGCTGCAAGTCGACAAAGGTGATCAGATGCTAATAATGATCAGATTCATTTGATATTGATTGTCTGCCAATACCGAATCCTGATCCGATTATTCTATTTCCCAGATAATACAGCTGCACCGTACACTAGCTCTATTTGTTTTTGCCATTGTTATTCACACACTGTGAAGACCACTGAGACAAATGTAACATTTGTGATATTGGGCTATATAAATAAACATTGATTGATTGATTGATTGATTGATTGATTGACCATAAGCAATTGTTGACTGTAACGTCTATGCCAACCAACTGTAATTTGTAATGTATTATACTTTAACGGGTCTGGCAACCACAGCAGCCCAAATGTTAACGTAAATGCAAGTTTTCTTTTTACAGTGTACTTATATCTGTACATTTATTTTCAGTTTGCGTGAAGAAGTGGCTTCAACAGACAGAAGTGCAGGCCAGATTGGGAAAGGCTGGACGCTACACAACGGGAAACATTATGGACATGACCAAGGAAAAACCAAAAACACTTTCTTTGTTGCCTTTTTCTTATCATATATAGTGTTACGGTTTTTGTTACCATTTAAATATTGAATTCTATGTATTACTTTTATTTTAAATCAAATGCACCGGTTTTAGATAATATATTTATTTTGATGTGTAGGTTGATTTGCAGGTTGGTTGTTATTTGTATAATTATTGTATTGTTACTGTGTATTTTATTATATTAACTAGCTATGTATTAAATTAAAATACTGTTATGAACACTATACAATGTCTTTATTTTGGTAGATACCAGAATACATGACACAATGAATCTTTGTAATATATGTATGTTCTCTTGTTTAAATAATCATACCAGTATTTAATGTGTGCTGGTCACCTGGAATCCTGGTAAGCTCCCAGCAGGGTATATTTAATACTATTATTAAACATAAGCTGGTGATAGATGGATAAACTGGCCAGCTGAAGTGTCCAAAACCCCTCTCCAGCCAACCATTCCAGCCTAATATCTACTGGCTGGTCAATTTACAACAGCCTGACCAGCTACATTTATCTAAGCTGGTTTTTTCAGCAGTCATTATTATTTATTTACTATTTTTTGAGAATCTCTATGAATTATAGTCAAATGTAAATACCAGTCTCTGTTCTGTTGCCTGAGCCAAGTTTGCCTGCTACATTACGATGTATTATTAATTTATTATTGATTTACTATTTATTGAGAATCTCTATGAATTAAAGTCAAATGTATACCAGTCTGTGTTCTGTTGCCGCATCGGATCTCCGCCAAATCCAGAATTATCACCCCCATGTTCGCTCCCATCTGTATCTCTACCGCTACTTGAATACTGTGGCTCAAACTGGTATGGTTCCACCACGTTAGACTCACCCGCATGATCTGATTCCACCACACCGGCATCCTCTTCAATAAAATCCTCCACTAATTGAAAGTGCGCAGAGTCTATTGACTGTCACTCGATTCTGTCTCCAGAGTCCGACATCAGCCATATAGGTAGTGTATTATTCAACAAGTGTTCTACTCGTGACGTGCGTGACGTCACTAACCGGCGAAAGCTGTTTTGTTCGGAGCGGTCGTGTAACATCGGAAGCGAGCATGGAAAGTTGTAATAAACCACGATTTATAAATACAGCGGGCATATTGTCATGAATGACATGATTTCCCATTAATAATAGTATATATATTATCGTAATAAGAACAGTATTGTCCTTCATTTTGTAAGCTCTTTAACACCAGCCTATTCGTTACCTGCTCCCTCCAGTCAGAGGCCACATCACTCTTGTTAACTTGCCCGATTCTTCCTGCTTTGCATCTGGCAGCCACAACAGCTTACACCGCACCCACTACATTAACCTTCCTGCCAGACAATCGATGCCATGTCACTGTTAATCTTCATTACACATATGTGACCTTTTACCAACATCACTGCCCTTGGTCCCAGGTGATTAATACTGGTCGGGATAATTGGACGTTAATTGGAGAGACTCGATTGACCAAAGCCCTAAGAAAACAGTGAGCGAGTGATTTGATGATCCATCTCTTATTGACAAGCAGGCATACAGGAAGAGAGAGACAATCGCCATTTGACCACGTCCATTCATCATCATTGTTATTGGTGGTTTGTGAAGGCCTGTCCTCCCGGGTGAAAGTCTTTGTATGATGGGCCTCTGGAATAAAATCCATTTGTTTCTTTGTTTTCGAGGGATGGCAAGCTTACATAGCAAATGTATTTAACCCTCTATTGTAGGGGCGTTCTATTTTAAATCTGTTTGTATATCTACCAATTAATGAAGAGGACCTATTATGCTCATTTTCAGCTTCATATTTATATTCTTTCCCTTTAGTGTGACATCTCTCCATGCTTTAATGTTCTTTTAATGGAGAAACAGGAAAGGAAACCCCCAAAAAGCAGGATAGGGCCTCTTAAGATAAGATGATAAGCATACAAAAATATTCATGTACTATTCATTCTAGTCTCAAATCAATTCAAGTGGATGCAAAGGAATATGAGAACATCATCCTTATCATGCTTGTTTCTCTCCCATAAAAGAGCTGTCTGATGTTAAAATGTAAAGCGGTTGCTATTTTAACATTTCAATCGTATACTGATTAAATCAGATAGAACATTGATTTTCATATGAAAATGTAATACAGCCCGCCATCAAGCTGGAGCAAATGTGAAACTGGTGTCAGACCAATCAATAAAGCTCTGGCTCACTTCTAATAACGCCGAACAGAATGTTTGTTTTGTCTATCAATAAAAATGGCCGACAACAAGAGGCCTGTGCCTGGCTCCGGACTCAGAGAGATGGACATGGTGTTGGCAGGACAAACTGGGCAGTGGATATGTGCCTCGTCTTGTTTTGTTCTTGAATCCACTATCAAATAATTGATGAGTGTAAAAAGGGATGGTGTCAAAAGAAAAAGATCTATCTGAAAGACATAAAACTGGCCAAGTAAGATGCTCTCACAACATACAGGAGGGCTGGAAGAGCAGTTAAGGAGAGAAAAGAAAAAGCACAAGAGACTAAGAAGCCTTAAAGGGACACTACACCACTACATCTCACTTGTAGTACTTTTCATGTTTTTTGCATGTTTCTAATTGTTCCAATGAAACTAAATTAAAATCTGCATTTAGTCAAATCTGACCTAGGTACTCTAGGATAATCCGCAGACCTTGTTGTGAAAACTATTTTCTTTATACCAAACTTCAACAACCAACAACAGTATCACAGTGTATCCTGCAGCACTGTTGGTAGATTTATTTTTGGTAGAAAGAAAATAGTTCCTAAAGGGTTTTCCCTTTCCTGTAGTGAGTTATACAGTATAGGTTGTTGTGCTCAGCAAAGGCCTAAAACGCCTCCTTTGGTTACTTCTGTAACAACATCATTATGTAACACTTGCACCTGTATTGGCTAGAGTTTACAGACAGTGTATGTGATATGTTAAGGGAGGGGACATTTCTAAGTAGTTGACTAATCACAACAGAGCCGGCCAGCTAACCAATCAGAGCATAATGGGCTCTGGTTTCAGACAGAGGGTGACAAGAGGTGGTGCAGCACCAGCAGAAAAATAAAGAGCTTTTTGAACATTAAAGCATGGAGACATGTCCCAGTAGAGACACTACATACTTATGTTAAAGCAGTTAAGTATACTGTAATATGGCCTCTTTAAAGTACATTAAACAGCTCACAACAAGATATGTGACTTATTTTGAGAAAGCAGGTCATGATTTCTGGTAAGAGACATTGCTCTTCGGCTTTGAAATACTGCCGCTAAGTACTTTTTCTGCCACTTGGTGCACCACAAGCCGATTGACATATACTGTAGTTCCATTATATATGAAAGAGGGCAGATTCCCACTGCCAATACATTCACCAACTAACACAAAACCAATCAAGTTTCAAAGATAGCACTAAAGGAAGGAGAAACAAATCTGCATTTCAATTCACGGGCAAACTGTTTCTTATCATTGATTAATATGAATGGTCAAAATGGACCAAACCAAATGGTCTTTTCTACCTT